TACAATAAGCTGTGCGTTAAGTCGGTAATTTTGCGGGCGTGCGAGCATGACAAGTGGGTGTCGGTAGCAAGCGGTTAACGAGAGCTGAACACTCTTGTGTGGCTGCCAGGGACAGCTATTTGTAGAACGATTAATAAAGTTTGCTTGCAGTAAACGAAGGTTGTTTTAGGATATGTTGTTTAGGATTAATAAGTAGTTGGGAAATACATCTGGTGGTTTTACTTATGTAAATATTTGGTATCTTAGCTTTTGTTGATTAAAATTTTAGGTTTTAGCTAAACTAATTTTTTGTATAAATTTTCTGTATTGTTGCAACCACGCAATTAGCCTTTCATATGCATATCGGCAAAACGGCGTATCAAGATAATGCAAAACCGCGTATGTGAGGTTGCATAAATTATTTTCTAGAGAGTAAAAATGCTCATATTTCAAAATGGTTCTCTTTTTTATAAAGCAATCTTTTTTATGATTTGTAGTTTTATTTAGTTTGTTGTTACTTTCGTACGGACGTTTTAAAATTTTTATTATTTTTTTTAAAATACCATGTGGTTTTATTTGAAAGTAAATATTTTTCCTGCAATGTATGCATCATTTTTACCTCATAGTTTATGCGTTTTCAGCTTCTTTGATTGTCTTCTACTTTTTTGTATTTCCAACCCCAATTTGTTTTGAATAATGAAAATTGTGTTTTCGAAAATTTTTAATTTTTTGGGTTAGTATGTTTTTAGAAATATGTAAGTCCTTATAATATTATTTTAATGTTTTGTCAGGATTTTTTTTCTTAATTTGTTTTTATATCTTTTATTTCATGGCAAGTCTGTAGTTAATGCTGTTATATGTGTTTGGCCTTTTGTTTGTTTGTCACTTCTTAAACCTTTTTTTGCCTTTATTGGTTTTCTTTTACTTAATAAACTGAGTTTTTGCAATTTTTGGTATTAATTTTAAGTGTTCTTCTTTATTTTTAATGTTACACTTTCATTTGGTCTGCGAATTTTGGAAAGATTTTGTTTTGCTTTAAAAATTATTTTGATTTATTTACAAACATAGATCTTTTTGCAGCTGATTATAAATTTTATCGCATGCGATTTTCAACTTAGATCGTGCAACACTTTGTGCGCTTCATAACATTTTTTCTATTGCTGCCAGGATGTATGTCACGTTTGAGGTAGCTTAAGTGTACTACTCGGTAATTGAGCATGTAGTAAATCAGTTAAATAAACGAATTCACATCATTTCCGCTATCCCTTTCGCTTCTTTCTGCTACTGCTATTGCTGCCGCTGTTACTTTTGTCACTAATTTATTGCATTTCCTGAGCATGTCTCGCAAAATCCTGCACGTTCATTGCTGTTGTTGACATCTACAGGTGGGTGTGAGTTCGCTGACCAAATCTTAAGCAGTGGAAATACAAACATACATGCATACATATGTATGTATGTTCATACATAAAGCTAACCGGTACCTTAAAAATTAGATATTTTCTTCGGTTTTTATTGTAATTCTCGACTAAGTAGAATATATTAATGTAAATTTTAAGTTACTCCAGTAAGAAGTATTAAATGTTCCAAAAGGATTTTGTGAACGCCAGGATATAGTACTTCCTGGCTTTTTACTATTATTCTTTGAAACTTGTCACTGTATTTGACTTGTAGTAAATTAAATGGAAATTTGTACTTTTTTGGTGTAGTCGATTTTGTTGCTGGTGCGCTTTTTCACTTTATTATTTTCACAGCACGTTGACATTTAATCTGCGAGCCATTATTTAAATGCTCCTTTCGCGTTTGATACATATGTATACTTATGTATATGAGGCGTTCCATACCAAAACGGACGCGGTTGTGTTTGATTTGTGTAATTTTTTTACATAAACAACAACATAAATAATAAATAAATATGAAATTTGAGCTTGATTAATACATTTTTCAAAACTTTACAGCACTAAAACAAAAACAAATCGATTTAACAGTTTTCCAAATATCTCGAGAACTTTTTACATGCACATTTTGTGATAAAAAATAGTTTTTGAAAATATGCCACCTCAAAAAAAAAAATTAAAAAAAAAAAATCACAATGGTAGCTCTGAGTATTGCGCAATATTTAAGTAGAGTATTATGGGGTGCACTCTACAATTATTTGAGTTATGAATTTTATTTTACACCGAATTTGAGTAAAATGAGTATATTAAAAATTTACTAACTTTTTTTTTTGAATTTTTTCGAGTATGCAGTTTTGTAGCCCATTATATTTTAGTACAATAAAGTGTAAGTTTCAAGCTACTGCAAAATTGCGTTGATTTTTTTATGCTGACGGCCTTTTACACTTTTTTCTTATGGAAAAAAACGCAAAACCGTTTTCAAAGAAAATTAAAAAAAAATTATTAGCAATTGCTTAAAACTTGCACTTTATTATACTAAAATTCAGTAGGCTGCACTCTCAAAAAAAATCTAAAAACAATTTACAAAATTTGTAAATTTGGAATGTACTCAACTTCGGTATAAAAAAAAGTTCATAACTCAAATAATTGCAGAGTACACCCCATAATACTATACTTTAAAATTGCTCAATACTTAGAGCTACCAATGTGATTTCTTTAATTTTTTTTAAGAAGGCATGTTTTCAAATTTTAAAAATATTTCTTTTCATAGAGAATTTTCATGTGTGTATGTGTGATTTTTTTCAAATTTTTTCCTCGCCTCTTCCTTGAGATATTTGGAAAACTATTAAATCGAATTGGTTTTGTTTTTGTGTTGTAAAGTTTTTAAAAATGTATTAATCAAGCTCAAATTTCATATGTAATTATTATTTATGTTTATGCATCAACACTAAAAATTTTAAACAAATCAGACGCATGAAGTGTGAATCCCGCCCGTTTTGGTATGGAACACCCCATATACATTTATGTTGGTACGTATGTATTTGCGTACTCCCATTATTTTTGTAACAAGTTTCACTTTTCCAAAGGGCACCTCTGCGCACATCTCTGCCAAGTTTAGCTTTCGTTTCCGAAATTTGTTTCTCTCTTCCCTTTTTATCACTCTATGCATCCAACGCGTCTGTCTCCTCGTTTCGCCCTTGTACCAGAATTCACCATCGGTTACGACGTGTTCGCTTTAGCTGTACTTCTTGTGGCTGCTCTGCTGCTACTAAATGCTCCCGCAGACTGACTCTTGACTAAATACATAAATAAAAGCGCTGTGTGGAAGAACTTAGTTCGCATGTATGGCAAAATATGTTTTCATGTTTGTATATATATACATAGTACCTATATAAATATATATTTATATATATGTACATGTACATATGTATGTATGTATGTATGTATATATGTATCTCCAAAAAGTATCAGTCAACTTTTTAGCCAACAGTCCTTTCAATTTGCGCCCTGCTGTCGTATTTCTCGCTTTTAGCCAAACACAAACGCGAAAATAAAGGAATGTTCAGCCACTCACAGAAGTATTCGTAATCTAGTTTTTTTCCACAATATCTAAAATGTTTTCCATCATGAATCTGTTTCGTTAATTTTCATTTAAAATATTGCTCACTATATAACAAATGCCATATAAGTCAATCTTGAAAACTTTGTACAAAATTCACAAAAATTAATCAAACATCAAAAAAATGTTCATCAAAATTTCAAATTTTTTAATCAGAAAAATTAAAGAATATGCAGTTTTGCAGCCCGTTCAAATTCAAGAGCAAGTTTCAAGAAGCTAAAAATTACAGTTGATTTAAATTTTTTTTTTTTGTCGAGGGTGTTGCACCTTCCTTCCATATAAAAATATACTTTGTTCATGCGTTATATGGAAGAAAATGCCCAAATCCCTCGAGAAAAAACTCTGAATAAAAGTTTGAAATTTTGATCATATTTTTTTTAAGTTTGATTAATTTTTGTGAACTTTGTACAAAGTTTGCAAGATTGATTTAGATGGTTTTTGTTATAAAAGGAGCTACATTTTAAATGAGAATTAACGAAAAAAGATTTATGATGGAAAATATTTTGAATATTGTGAAAAAACTAAATTACGAATACTTCTGTGAGCGACTGTAAACATGTACATATGCATGTATGTACATGCTTTTTATTTACGGCTATATGTATGTATTTATATTGTATGTATGCACTTATGTCACTTGGGAGGCATTTCTTTTTTGTTACTTTATTTTATGCCTTTACTTGTTCTTGCTTTTAGACTCCCATTATTGCTAGCATCCTCATTGTATTCTTCATTGTGTTGTTATTTATTTTAAATTTATTGCTACTTGTGTCGCTTATGTTTCAGAAAATTATTTATTTGCTGTTTCTTGTTGTTGCTATTTGCCGGTTTTTTGTAATGTTGTTGTACATACAGTTGTTGCTGCTGGTGCTTTCGCGCTATGCGTGATGCTCTTTTTCCGTGCAAGAGCTTCCGCGACTTTTGCTTCTTCAACTCGAAATGCGGTTTCAGCTACATTGGTGTGCCTTTTATAGTTGGCAGCGCAATCAATTGCTTTTTTCATTGGCGATAATCGAAGCTCATGTTGCAAAATGTCCTTTGGAGCATAGCTGTGATGGTTATAGGATATGAGGGGGTCGATTAGGAGGTTGTGCGCCTTGACGTTCTTTCTTCTTGCTTGTCGCTGTAATCGCCTAAGCGATTTTGGCCAAGTCGTACAAAGTACGACAGTCGTTTCTCTTCTCTACGAACTGACCACAATAGGATAAGCTAAGTGAAGCCAAGCACTTCTTCGCCTGGTATTTCCAACGCAGAGGGGCCTCTCTCTTCTTCTGCTACCACCAGCGTGTTCCGAATTGAATACATTCAGAGCTAGAGCGTTTCTGTCCATTGGAACGACAGACCAAGCCAGCGTAGCCGCTGTAGTTTAATTCGCTGCACGATGGTAAAGCTCATACAGCTCATCGTTAAATCGTCTGCGGTACTCGCCATCGCCAACGCGCAAAGGCCCGTAAATCTTCCTCAGAATATGCATTTCATTTGTCTACTCAGTCCAAAGTAGCACTTGTATCTCCTTTAGATTTCGAGGTTAAAATTATTATTGGCGGTAATGCTGGTTCCTAAATATACGAACATACGTCGTCTTTTTCAATATTTTAACTGTCAATAGTGACGAGATCCTTATGCTCTGACTGTTTGTTGACGACACCACCATACCCACACGCTTAGCTTCTCTATCCAATTCCGAGAAGGCGGAACAGACGTAGCCGTTGTTTTTACCGATGATGTAAAGAATTGTGCTTGAGCAGTTGAGCTCTGTGCCTCTTATTATCACCTCCAACATCAGATTGAAGAAATCCACAAAAGGGAGTCACCTTGTCTGAAACATCGGTTGGTATCAAACGGCTCGGAAAGGTCCTTCCCAATTCTGATTTCGGCCGATCTCTTCTTATTGCGAAAAACACGTCTCGCTCTACTTTTTAGCTGCCTATAACGGTCCCACATAGCTGACATTGCGTCCGATCGCAGCGTTACCCTATAGGCGGATGTTTTTTTCTCTGCAGCTTGTTTTTTTTGGGGTCGCTGAAATCCGACCACTTCTTCTTTTTAGTTTAGTGAGACCCAAATTTATTAAATGTAGCTTCGGAGAGGCGGGCGTTCGGTATGTTTCGATTATTTTTGATTTAAGCTCTTTTGTTCCAGAAGTACTTCAAAAAGCGTCGTGTTTGGAAGTCGTATTACGAGGTAATTGGCGCAAACAATGGAACTGATTTTTTCTGGCTTGGGCAAATCACACTGAGATTCGAAACTTCGGATATGGTATGTATATTCATCAGCTTTTATGTATATGTGCATGTTTATATGTGTTTTTAATGTTTAGTATGTACATACAAGAATCGCCATAAAGGGTGAAGCCGAATAAGTCTTTGGACGAGAAAAATGTTTAAGCGGTATTTTAACATGACATACTTATGTACATTTGTATCCTATACATACATACCCAACGGGACTGAAAGTTAGCTGTTCCCCAAAGGAGCAAGTATGGAACAGTACAAAAGCAAAGTAAAAAATAAATTCTTAAATTTCTAACAACCCAGCGGACCAAATGCTTGCAAATGATAACGCATGCGAGTGAAATGCGAGATTTAACGCGGAAAAACTCTCGCAAATGAATCGGGAAATGATAGCAATATGATTTATATGTCGTTCAGTTTGTGGCAGTGAAACTTTCATTTACGATAGTTGGAAGGAACATCGTTGGTGAGCATTTGGCGATATAATTTGCAAGGTTGTTTTGATATTTCTAGCGATAAGGATAAAATACTAAATGTGATACGTTTTCGATTCAAAATAGAATATAAAAAAAAAATATTTTTGCCGAGCCGGCATTAATATCAAATAAGTATTGCAAAAGATATCACAAACGGTTCGCAAGAAATAAGGGTTGAAAGACTTTTATTTATTTTATTCCCCATTAACAAATATTTTTATACCCGAGCGCACTTGTGCACAAGGGTATTATAACTTTCACATAACGGTTGTTTGTAACAGGCAAAACGAATCGAGATAGATATAGACAAATGTATACATAAATGATCAGGATGAAAAGAGAAATCGATTAAGCGGTGACTGTCTGTCCGTCCGTCTGTGCACACGATAACTCGTGTAAAAATTGAGATATCTTAACGAAACTTGATACACTTGATACGCGTTCTTCTTTCGGGCGTAGGACGGACGGTATTGAAAATGGGCAAAATCGGACGATAACCACGCCTACCTTCCATATAACGGTAATTTTCAGAAATACGAAAACTGCGATATTTTAGTAACTACTGAAGATTATTCACTCAAAATTGATATTTATAATAATATTGAGACGAAAAATAAGAAAATTATAAATTTTTGAAAAATGGGCGTAGCCACGCCCACTTATGGTTACATGTGTATATCTTGGCAACCGCTGTACCAATTTCTTCCCAACTTGGTACAGTTGTGGCCCTTGGTACAGTATATCAAACGGCCGAAAATTTTTAAAATCGGACAATAACCACGCCCACATTCCATATAAGGGTAATTTAGAGAAATACGAATTCTTAGATAAATCAGTAAATAATAAAGCTAATTTATTCAAAATTGACACTTGCAACAATTCTTTACCAAGAAATACGTTTATGATAAAATTTTGGAAAATGGGCGTGGCACCGCCCACTTATTGTCACATATATGTATCTCGGTAACCGTTCTACCAATTTGCACCAAACTTGGTACGGTTATTGTGCATGCCACATTAAAGCAAAGCATTATTGAAATCGGCCTCAAATTACGGCCGCTTTTCATATAACAATAAATTTTAGAAATGCTTGAAATTTCAATATTTCGAAATTTAAGGACGCTAACTTACTCAAAATTGATACACCCCAGCTTACCATGTAGCGGTAGCTTGCGGAAAGGTGAAAAACATAGTAGTACTTGCGCCGGGTATTTAATGTTCGGCTCCGCCCGAACTTAGACTTTCTTACTTGTTTATTATTAGTTAATGCTTCTTATTGTTTATATATGTATATTGGTTAAACTAAAATTCGGACATAGAAGAAATTAAAAACTGAAATTTCACATACATAACTTAAAAGTATTACGCACTTCTTTGGCAGCTTCAAGGAATCTCTTTCATGAGTATAAAAAAATTAAACATTACGAAAACAAGACACTCTTTAGCCATTGAACATCTAAAAAATTTAACTGATGGAGACATTTAAAAATGAAACTTCACTCCTTAAAGAAATTAACTCAGCACCTTGACGATCAATTTTGGATAGTAACTGACCAATTTTATCAGTTGTTGTCCTCTGGGTTTCCCTAATCTTCGTTATTAGGTTCAATATGTCTGTAACCGTAATAAATAAATCTTGTAAGTAGGCATTAAATAAGGAACTGGGCCCGAATCACGGCTCTTGTGAACGAGTGACCGTTCGAATATAGTATACTTACTTTTTAGACCATTTAAATAAACTCCGGAAAGGAGACAGAAAATTATTAATAACAAAAAAATGTATCTAAATTTTAATAAATATTTTTTAATTATTCAGCTGCCACACACTCGAGTTTGACAAATAAAAGAAAACTAATTTTTTACAATAGTACAAGTAGAAAATTATTGCACTCGCATTTCTATCACAATATTCACGCTGCAATGCTCGTGTGCGAGGGTTTTACGATCAAAGAAGTTTCACAATCGTCCTTTGCTCACATGCAAGCTCATTTGCGGATATTTTGCGACACTCTCGCTAAAGGCTCGTGCGCTGGTCTGCTGGGAAGGCTCAGAAATA